AGAGTGGAGAGCTACTCAATTTATGCATGAAATTGATTCAAACCACATAGCAAGCTTTGCTCAGTGGACTCTGCAGCCCCGTCCAAATTGATATCTTGCGCTCTGAGAANTTTTTTTTTCATTATGTGTTGAAGTATGGCATATAATTTTGACGCGGCACATTTATTAAAATGAACTGTAAAAATGAAGCTGTTTCTCTGAACAGGTGTATGTCTCGTATATGTGAGTCTCTGACACAGTCCATTGTAGTGCAGTATGTCACATGTGACAGATGTGGGTAGGAACCGAGATAACAGGAAAATGTGGGGGGTGGCATAAGTAGTTGACGCGCACTGTACTCCCTTCAACGGTATAAATTTGAAAGTTTCACACAAGTCGCAACCCCACTCACTTCCATTATTCTAAGAGTGGAGAGCTACTCAATTTATGCATGAAATTGATTTAAACCACATAGCAAGCTTTGCTCAGTGGAATATCAGAAAATAACTTTCTCAGAGCGCAAGATATCAATTTGGACGGGAGTGCAGCCCCGTCCAAATTGATATCTTGCGCTCTGAGAAAGTTATTTTCTGATATATTTTCGCCAATTCAACTTCATTTTTCGCTGCCAACCGCAGAACTGATTACAACGCTGCTGCTCAAATTGGCTAATTAGAGATTACATCGAAAGCACACCTTAGGCGCATGAATTCTGATGCTGAAACTGCCTTCCGCTTCGTCCTCGAGGCCAGTCACAACGTCATTACGATCTGCCCAACTGTCGGAGCCAATCCATTGGAAACGCTGAAGCGCAGAGGTAGAGCAGGTGGAAACATTACAAAAGATTCACAAAATTGTTTTGCAAGATTCGATCTTTCAGGACGACACACATACCTTGAAGCCCTTATTGCGTTTGATCAGATGTTTTTGCGCTTGAAAAAAGTTCCTGACGGTAAGACCTTCACAGAAACAAACAACCACTTGTGGACGTGACTTTTGACTGGCCAATGACTTCAATACCTTAATGAATTAATTGCTGTTCATAATGTGGGGAAGTACAAAAAACTGGATTCTTCGGTCAATGTTCGGATGGCAGACATGTCGCCCTTGCTCAATGATCCAGGTACGGTGTTTTTCTTTACAGCCTGAACTCTCGTCATGCTGTGATATCTTATTTTTCAATTTCTGTTATAGAACCAATATGGCTTAATAAGAGCAGTTCAGAAGTGCTCAGTGTGGTACCCGACGGTGAATTTGTTCGGCGCTTGAGATTTTCGAACAATCCCTTGTATCAACCCCCGTCCCGTCAAACAACGATTCCCAGAGCGGGTCAATAACGCTTCCATTGTGGTATTCCTCGCTCGAAAGACACGACGCCTAGCATTGTTTTTACGCAGAGCTTCCGCGAGGAATCATGATCATCGTGCTGGCCGCCGTCCTCGTGTTCGTTCGACGTCCCTACGGATCCAGCCACTAACCTTCGATCCAATGATCAACACAACGTTGTATGACGTGTTCGACCCATCTGAATCTTCGAGGAAGCTCGAAACTCCGGATTTTTCCTCTGCACCTGCGTGAATCCCAAAATCTCGAGCATCGCCCTCTCCACAGCGCGTTGAATGAAATGATCGCATTTTTATCCTGCTTTCTTAGTCAAGTCTTCAAGGCGTACTTCAAAGCAAAAAAGGTGTCGAGAATGTGAACGCGGATCCGGATACTCTTTGTCTTTTCTCTACTGCCTCGATGTTCCTGAACGCTCCCAATCCTGCATTTCCTTCTGCTCAGCTCCGGAACAAGGTCGTTCATCTTGTTTGACTTTTCGTCCTGGATACACGTAGCTAGAGCATTCGAAGACATTGGTTCCCTTGGACGTAGAGGGAGTGTGGAGTACCAATCCCTCGAGAGCGACACTTAAAAGATTTGACGAGATGGTATCGCCGCCAAATCTCTCTCTTAACCTTGAGAATGTCTCAACTGCAGAATAACGAAATCTTGTTTGGAAAATCTCGTAGTTCTCATGGAGCATTCTCATATTCTGAGTTGGAGCACCCTGACTGCCCAAGCCTTCAGTTATCGCCCATGTCTTACGATATCGAAGGCTTCAAATCGACGATGGTCATACGTGACGGTATCTTGTACTGTGTAGGTGTTACCGATTGATCCTCATCGGTACCAGCTTGCTTGGCTGGCTAGTCTTCGTATCGTCACCTATGGTACCAAGGATTAATCAGGTGAAGAGTTTATGAGTTACCGCAACGGGTGGATCGGGCAATAAGTGCATATATTGCCTTTATCTACCTTTTTATACAGCAGCACAGTCTTGCTGGTTTTCTATAAAATGGGCACTTTCATTCCGACAGCTATGGAATGTAGAGCAGGGCCAGGGTTTAGACAACGACTGGCGGAAGGCTCTACAGATGTTCTGCTTTGATCCTGCTATTCATCCTAAATACAGCAGCATAGTCTTGCAAGTTTTCCAGTGTGGGCACAATGCCTTCCGAGAGGTACCGCTGAAGAATCTAACCTGGGTTCTGACAATAATTCGTAAGGGACTTTCCAGACAATCTGGTTTGGTCCGACCCTGCGGCACTCAGATCTTGATTGACGTGGGTGGGTGTCGAATTTAGGAAGGGAGAACTGAAGGAAAGTACCCACCCTGCTTGAGATGGTAACTAGGCAGAGAGACGTGGCTCTCGAAGAAATAGGTATAGAAGACGTAGATAATCTTCTTCATGCCCCTATTTGATTTTCGCAAACCAGTAGTTGTTCTGTTGAGGCGAGGGAGGTAACCCAGCTTGGTCTCGTGGTTGGTGAACTTCGGCAGGCCTTGCAAACGCCTTTATCAGTTTCGGCGACTCCGGCGAGAATTATTACTTTTGTCTCCCCAGTTATTTTTTTATGGCCTCTCTGCACAGTTTCACAAAATCGAGGGCTAGTTTATGATTGTTTGTAGCTCACGCGATTCCACGCTGGCGTATCAACTGAAGAGTCTTCAAGGAAGACGTCTCCTAGCAAATTGTTTTTGTGTACCCTCTGTTTCCAGCACCATTGCGAAGATGTTCGACTAGTCAATTATCTTTCCCATCGATGTTGTCGATACCGGGACCTACCATAAACTTGCGAGTGAAGCGAACCGATCCCAATTGATAACGCTTTCATTAGGAGTTCTCAAATACTGCGGCTCGCGCTCATTTCATATCGCTCCGTGACTCCCGATATTGAGCTCTTGCCCGTTCAGCTGAGGCCAATCATGGCATTAAGATCACCGACGATGACATTGAAATAGGTGTGTCTTCTCCGTAGATAGCCCCAGGCTCATGTAAAACGCGTCCAGATTCTCTTCTTCGTAGCCTGATGTTGGTGCGTTAACAACCAAGATTGTGAGAGTCGGTTAGGCCACATTCCAACCGCAAGTATTCGATTAGGGTTGTCATTCTCTATTACAAATAGTTGTTCATAGCTAAGTGCGTACTGATGAGAGCAATTATACCGCGCAACTGCTCTGCTGCCGCATATTCCGAAGAACAGTTTTTTTCCAGTCTCAAAAATGGATTGCAGCGCTCAATACTTTCTCAACACTCCGATCGCAACCTTCGTTCTTCTTTTTTGGGCAGCCTATTGTGACGCTGCAATCTCTCCGTAGTGGTCCTATCCAACATAATGGAATCTTCAGGAGCCTGAGGTTCATTTATATTATTGCTTTCGGTGTATGAGAACCAGAGTAGCTTGTCAGGCTCTAGGGCGTACGGGTACAGCTTGGCTGTTACTTCGTATATCTCCCGTTCATCGAGTGCAACCCTTGGATGAGCAGATGCACGACCAAAAGCGCCCACAGACTCTCCACACACATATGCATGGACACCCCAGCGAGATACAGAAGGTATATCAACGGAGCACAGCGGAACAAGAAGTTCATTTTCTGAAACCACCTGCGTCTCTGTATAAGTACCGGTGATCTTTAATCGGCAATTTGCTCCCTATTCGCCGTCTGGCCGTCGCGTAACCTGCCATCAACTGGCTAGAATTCCTTTACAGAGAGAGATCCCTTAGCGAAGTAGATCTGCAGATTTACAAACAATAAAACCTATGATTCACGCGAAAATTCTACAAATCAGGGAATCGTATCGTACGCTGCACATTGCCTAATTGACTAAGCCTCACAAATTGCAGGATTTGTTCTAGCTTAGCTAATCGACCTAGAACCGTTTTATTTTATTCAGTTATTTTTTCTTGACGTTGCAAGAGATTTTGCTCAAGATAAGAGCTAGTAGCGACGAAAGCGTCACAGATCTTACGTCTGAACTACTACATACAAACGTTCGTGTGAACCAATGGTTTTATCGGTGGCTCCCCAGATTGAGTTGAGATCCATTTAGACATAGTTGTACTTTTAACTCAACTAGTTCTACTGTCACCTCACACAGATATTATAACTGCAGCAGCTTCTCTTTTTGACTTAAGTGCTCATGAATTTTATTGAGTGTTTTGTAATTACGGCGATAAGTATCGTAGACATCCATTCAATGAACAGTAACCTACATTTCTGTACTCCGCCTCTCCGGCCAAACTTTTGATTTTCTGTGAATAAGCTACACAAACAGCTGAGTTCTTCTGACTTAGCAACCGTTCAAGAGCCTCAAAGCCTTTCTCACCGTAATTGCCTGAAATGATAGGAGTATGGAGGTTTGTCAAAGAATTACAATAAAGACAGATAAAGATACATATAAGTAAAGAATATTTTACTTTGAGCGAGATCAAAATCAAAAAAAATCTTCTGTCTGTACTATGATCAAGCACTGCTGCGGTGGACGGTGAACATTGACATATGAGGTAGTACTCACGGATATATGCAGAGAGCATCAAAAGGGTGTCTATGACTCAATCGCTTCCTTCTGATCTTGTTCTTTTGTGCATACATTATATCATTCACAGTTCAAAATTTGAGAGCTTTCCCGAGATTCCAGACAAGTCGTGGAAGGCGCTAACAATATATTACTCGGTAACGTTGTCATCGTCGATCAGTTCTGTAACTTCGTCATTTCCTTCATTCCTTCTTCCCATAGTTTTCGAGTTGGTTCAACAGATCAATGTTATATCAATAATAAAAGTTTTGTTACTGAACAGTTTTCATGAGACTCTACATTCATATTAAGAAATCCGATGATGATGTAAGTGCAGCTCCTCGGCGTTCTCTCAGTTGCCCGATGTGCGCCGATAGTTCAAACCCTGGGACCCATTTTGTAAGACATGGGGAACGGTACACTAAAGAAATACTTCTATTCCTCAAAGCGAGACCTGATATAAAATGGAACACATCAAGCTTTAAAGACATTGTTAGAAACACTACAGCTGAGTGCTTTCAAACGTAAATTAGACAGAAATTGCTTCCCTACGGACACCGCACGGATATTACACCACTCCAGCTAAGAGTGATACTTCGGTATGAAGATGGCGAGAATCCCTGTTTCCTACATGGTTCAGTATGAAGAACTGCTCAAGTATTTTAATCCAAAACCTAAACACTACAAACAAATGATGAGGATAGCTAATTCGTTAAAAAAATCCTGCTTTGTGTCTTAATATATATTTCCAGTGGATATTTTTCAAGCACTCTCAACATTGTTGGAGGTAAACCAGATTTTAATGAATTACAAAGTAAAGAATTGGGAATGAAAACTGGAACTTCTCGTCTCCTTCAAGATACACTGGGCGCTTGATTTCCACTTCAAACCGTTCCTACACTCAAATGTGGAAGGGAGTGCTCTGTAAACTAATCATTGTTGAAAAGATTATTCTAATGCGCAGTAGGCACTAGCGCTAACAAGTGAACTAAGTGTATTTCACAGTGTTTTTGAGTTCTTTCCCTCTTTTTCTTTTCGCATGAAAAAAAAAATGGTTTCCAGCTGAAGAGCAGCACGTACATAAGACTAGGGTGGGACTTCTCGCCTGTGCTCCGATCATGCCATAGTCAAATGTTTCACATCCCCGTAGTTAAGAAAGTGTTCAAGTTCAAAAGTGACGACAGAAGGTTTCCATGCCAGACTCGAGGTTACAACCTCCCGTGTCTTTGACCTACCCAGACTTTTCAACCAAAATAAAACCACTCATCTCCATGAAATTGTGTAACATAACGCGATTCTTCTTCAAAAATAAAAAAAAAGAAATTTTAGATGCAATGCCTATATCATCCCAATTTGGGCAATCTGTTGTTTCCAAGGGTCCTTCGCTGAGTTATGTGTGTTGTTGACTGGAGAGTTCGATGTTTTTGAAAGCTCAAATTCGGAACAGCCTTTGGCTGGAACAGGGATCAAGAAAGACTAAGAAGTGGGAAATACGTTATGAGAGTAGAAAAAGAGAGCGGAAAATGAAAAAGATCTGGAGAACAGCTGGATAAGAAGCAGCAGAATGGAGAAGAAGTGAAGGTCCAGGCAGAGGAAGCAGAAAGGTGAAAGAGAAAAGAGAGAAATCTTAAAATGAACGGTACAGATGGGTGCCTTTCTATAACCAACGATCTTTCGCCGTATATACCGCACTGCGACTTATGATTCGGCAGCATTATGACGTGATCTTCACAAGTATAAGAGAGACACCACAAGAAGTCTCGTTCGTTACTGACAGTCGCCTGTGGCGACCGAGGATTTTGTATCCGCTTGAGCGGTGGAACCCTGGTGAATCAAGATTGGAATAGTGTGTTTAACATCGTCGTCACATTCGCCGAAGGGGTTATGCGCTTTCAGGATGCTGTGCAAATTATCTCGAGTTGCTTTATGCCTTTGAAGAAGACGTTAGCGCCGAAACGAAGCCGTTGAATTAATAAATTGTTCCATCTAACAATCTCGCACGGCAGAAGGATATCTTAACAAGTAAGCAAATGGTAAAGAAAAAAAAANAAAAAAAAAGAAAAATACTAGTGAATATGAATAGCCAAGGAAGTGCTGTTGAGCAGATTAAGATGTCGGTGGGAAGAGGAGTGGAAAAACAAAAACAAATGTGTTGCAGGGTAAAGATAGAGGAGGAGAACGAAAAGAGAAAGCTGAAACAGTAAACGAGCTCCTTCAATGGAAAATCAAGTTGCAAAGAAGACGTAAAGAAAAAAGAATTTTGGGTGCTTTGAGATCTTCAGGTAATTTTATCTAACGACCGTCAATGGTGTTTCATTGTTCCCTTGTTGTTCACGAAATGGAGTGGGACGACAGCACTGGTTGAACGAAGTTGGTTTCTTCGGTGGGATATTTCGGCCTTCGAGTTTCGGGGAGTTGTTGTAACTGCCCTAGGGCGTTTGGGCCCTTGGTCAGGGAAGCCACAGACCGAGAGCTCCGAACTACCTTCAAGTCCTTGAAGACGACGAGTTAGTCGAAACGTCGACCTAATAACCGGTTCCATTGTAACAAACCTGTACCGCAAAGCATAATGAAACATTATGTGACATGCCTAGGTTTCAGGAAGACCTGAACATACTGTCACGTATTTATGAAGGCAGACAGGCTAAACCACCACAAACCTGCGGAATAAAGAACGGCGATGTATGTCCAGTTGTAGTGATGGAGAAGCCGATTGATAGCCTGAGCTTGCCACACATCGGACGGCACAACACTGGAAGCCAGAAGGCAATGAAAGAGATAAAATGCAGGTAAAAACGAAAAAGAAAAAGGTAAGTCTATATTCGACCTTCCTGCAGTCCTGGCATGACTAGTTTAGTTGAAATGATACTTCAAGTTTTCAAGTTTGAACTTTTATTGGCCGATGTCTCGGCAGCTTCGCCTTTGCCAGAGCCTAATATGGTCAAAAAGCATATGTAACTTGGTCGCTCAAACGCATTCTGGGCAGAGTTCACGATAATTTCGGGTTACCTAGTTTTAGACGATCAATGAAAGTGATAGTCTAGCAGAGTGCAAAAGTGGCGAAGAAAACGCAAAAACTCGGCTTATTTAAAGAAATGATAGGGCAACGAAAAATAAGTAAAGTTAGGGGTTGGACGAGAATGCTACAAAAAAAACTGCATGGAAGGGGTATTTAGACAAGCTGTTCGAATGCGCGTGTGGCTGCTTTCATAGTCCGCCGGTGTGCCAGCCAAACAACTAGGGGCTTGTACAAATGGTTTTTGGCCTTGTTTTTCCTTGTTTTCAGCCCTCCGAAGGGGCTTAGGCGCGACGCGACCGCGTCGACCGTCTGCCTTCCTTCTCCCCCCTAGCACTACCTCAGCTGGCACGCTGGCACTCACGCCGGCGGACTATGAAAGCAGCCTGTCATTGCATATAGCTAGCTGCCTGCGTGTGTGTCTCGGTGCGAGTGGTGTAACCTCTACAGCTTCTGCAACGCCTGAAAACTCGTCCCGCCTTGGTTGTGTACGTCGGCTAAAACGGTTTTGGAAGCTTTATTACGCCCTATCTTGACACTTTTCCAAACCGACAGTGTTTCTTAGGCTATCCTCGGAGCTCACACATTCTTTCTTGTAAGAAATCTCGAAACTATTCCTAAGGTGAATTGTGCCTTTGATAGAACCTCCAAGATTCTTTCAATAGACATGGAAAACTTGTAAAAGTGCTGATCGATAGAGGCATGGGACTACTCACCTTGAAGCTCGCCAGTAGGACAAGACGACCACCCTCTTACTATCTTTGGTGCGTGGTAATAGTTGTACCTCCTACTGAACGGTGTGATTTTGCTGACTATGGCCACACACTCCTCCTTCCCGTTCATCTAAAAGTCTTCAGTCGTGATTCAAAATGCTTTCAGCACCGTGCGCACCACCATCTGACGTTCCAGCGCCAACATGGACATATTATAGAAACTTCAAACGATAAACCTGCGAAGCGTAAAACCTGAACTTATGAGGGGGCATCATGCAATCGATACCTAGCCAGCCCATTCAGATGTTCCTTCATCCCCTCACCCGGGGACGGGCTCTTCCTCTTATCTGCTCAGTTCTACAACTGACGTGTGTTACAGAGATGACTCCCACCTTCATGCAGTCAGTCTCTTTGCCGTAAGGGCATGCCACACAGTTAAAAGGTGCCATTTACTGCATGTGTCGATTGCTAACAAAATACAGCAATATGTTTAGAGTCGAAAACGAAGTTTCATCCGTTGTTGAGCTGACTAAGGAGTCTCTGCATAGCCAAGGGCATTGCCTGTCAAATGGATATCCGTGTTCTAGGCCAACACGACGGAGGTATTCCCTACCACAACAGCTTACGAAAGAACACAACCCGACAATGTGACTTTTTGTTTGTTCTTAATTTCCAAACAATTGAGTAGACTTATCCGATCGATCGTGCTTCGATTTGGCCTTCAAGGCGATGTAAAGATTGCCGGAACACCAACATACACCCCTCAAAGGCATCTTGTTCGCATACAACTCTATAATACCGTATGTGACACCCTCTACAGTGGGGTATACCCTTACGGCGAACACAGTGACTACATGAAGATAGGAGTCATCTACTTGACGTAAGTCAGTTGTAGAAGTGAATACATAGGAGAAACAGACCGCCTCTTGAGTGTGCGGCTTAAGGAGCATTCGAATGGCCTGACTAGATCTTCGATGAATACCCCCTTAGGAGCTTGGGCTTTATGCCACGCAGGTTAGTCGTTAGACCTTTTCATGTCCATAATGGCGCTAGAACCCGAGATCGTGGCGCGCAGGACGCTGGGAGCATTTTGGATCACGGCTAAAGACCCTCCTAAGAACAGGAAGGAGGAGTGCGTGGTCATTTCTCGCGAACTCCGTCCTTCCTCCACCCTTGTAAGCACTACACACTAATGTTAGTACGAGGGTAGTTGTCCTTCTGTCTTGGGGGCAAACTTCAAAGTTACCAGTCCCATGCCTCCATCGATCAATGTTTTTGTAAGTTTTTCATGCTAATGAAAGAAGCTTGGAGCTTCTGTTGAGGTGTTCGTTTGTTTGTTTGCAAGTTACATGTGTTTTTTGACCATTCCAGGCGCTGACGAAGGCGAAGCAGACGAAGCGTTAGCCCAATAAAAGCTCAATCTGAAAAGCATTAAGTATCATCCAAACTGAAAAAGGAAGGCTCGTACCGCATGAAGTAACCGAATTGTTCCTTGTCGGAGAGATCCGGCGTAGTCGCTGAATAACCGATCTGGGGAATTCGAAACACCTATAATGACTATGAATGGTCGTGAATCAATCAATCCCCAGCAAATGGCACGAGACTCACCTGAAGCAGATTCTGGACCGCTATGGTGGCCGAACTCTTGCCGGGACCGACAATGGCGACTACCGGCACACTCTTCTTGTTGCATCCGGGCGTCTGACAGCAACTGCATTGAGCGACACCTTCGCGCAGAAACGCGATAGTCTGCTCCATGGCGATCCGCTCCGTCCAACATGAATCCCTTCAAGCAACAGTTTTTGATTTTCATAAGACTTACTATAATATATATATATATATATAT